GCCAGCTTTCCCCAGTTTATGTACTGCGCATGACATCACATGGTATGGAATGTCCCTTTGGCCCGTTTGGCTGTGCCCCCTCCCAGCTTCTTGTGCACCTCCAGCCTTCTCAGTCAGTAGAGCATGGGAAACTGAAAAGTCCTTGGCTAGTGTAAGCATTACCTGGCAACAACTAAAACATCGGTGGGTTATCAACTTTGTTCTCATCCTAAATCCAAAACACAGCACTGTACCAGCTACTAGGAAGGAAATTAACTCTATCCCTGCCAAAACCAGGACAACTGGTCACCAGTGCTGTTCAATATATTTATCAACAATCTGGATGCAGGAGTTGAATGCACCATTAGCAAATTTGCTGATGATACTAAACCAGGAGGTGCGGTTGACACTCTCAAGGCACAAGAGACCTTGCAGAGGGATCTAGATAGATTGGAGCACTGGGCAATGATTAATGGGATGAAATTTAACAAGTCCAAATGCCAGATTCTGCACCTGGGATGGAATAATGCTGGGCACTAGTATAAATTGGGAGAGGAGTGGCAGGGGAATGTAATACTCTGAAGTACTTGTGAATGCTGAGCGACCAACTAGAACTAAAAAGAATCTACCATGTCACTCCTCCACAGCTCCATGAAAGACTACTCAACTTAATTCTCCGCTCTTCCATCCAGCCATGATTTTTAACATGCTCCAGCTCTGAGACTACAAAGGAACTAGCAGAAAACAAGCTTTCCTCATGAAAAGACAACTTTCTTCACAAACTATACCACCGTATAAACCACCTTACCAGCCACCAGGAACGTCACCACCGACACGTCAAGATCTCCGATGGCACTACAAGTTGGCCTTGATCACTTACAGGAACGAGTTTATACATACCATCAGCTCATCCTTTTCATCCTCACTTTTAACAACTTTGCTTTCAGTGATCAAGGTAGTCAAGCACTATCTCCCCCTCTGATCTTTCACTCCATATCCTCAATACAGACCCAAAGGACACCTTTCAGCATGAGCTGAGAAGTTAAAAGTCATAACTCTACTTACAAACAAAAGGCAGTAAAGAAATAGGTTTATAGCACACCTCCTCTCACCTCATTAACCTCTCCATGTTTCACAGGCCAAGAATTATCTCCCTCTCTTTTTCTAAGGGATGACACCTTATTACTCCTTCTACCACTTCCCTTATTCTCTACAGGCACCAGCCACCCTGTCTCTCAAGTGGTCTAA